TGTCGTGTTTCAGGGAAACCTGGTTCATGTCCATGTTACAAAGAAGCGCAATATAATTTCCACACAGATTTTTAAAAGTTGAGTTATGTAATTTAAATGTGACAAAATGAGTCATTTCCTGTTGAAATAGAAAATGTTAGTTTGGAGCATAAGAAATAATATTTTAGGTGTTGCTAATTTATGCTTGCTAATGTTCTTTTTACATTAGCAAATTCACTGGGCTTTATAATAGAAATGCTATTAACTTCTAAAAAATTCTCTGAGCGCCTCCTGACAAGATGGATTTCTCTTCGTAATGTTACTACCATGATACCATTGGCCCAGGACCTCTTTGCTGACCTTTGACCTTCTTAGGTGTTCTGGCTTTCTGCTTCTGCCCCTCTACCCTCCGAGGGCTGGCTCACTTCCACCTCTCCCTTCATCTCTTCAGTCTGGCCTTTGGCACCCTTATTCCCGATGGCAGACTGAGGACCACACTAGAGTGACTGTGGTGATACTGCAGGCTGTTTTCCAGACACCCAGTTCCTCTCCATTTTCCTCTGGTACGAAGAGCCGAGTCTCTGAACAGTGTTCGCTTTGATTTTTGGTGATACTTCTAATTCAAATCAAGACAGAAGTTCATAAATACTTTTCCCAGCCTGGACAAAGACATATTCCAGACTCTGCAACAAATAAAATAGAAAGCTTTATGTGGGTCCCCTGGATACCTGCTTTTCATCTTTGAGCGTTTTGAAACCCTGCACTCAGAGAAGGGACCATGGGGAAGGACTCTGTCCTTTCCCACCAGGCAGTGCTTCAGCCTTACAGAGGAAGTCTGGCCCCGAAAGAAGTGCTGAGTCTCGAAATGTCAAAACATTCTCCTTTTTGAAGGAACAGCTTCTTTTGTGTGCAAAAGGTCTCCCTCCAACTCACTCACTGTGTTCTCCTTAGCATTAAAAAATAAACAGAAGCGACACATCCTTAAAATAACTATCTGAACTCAAGTCACCTATACCTCGCTGCAGCTCGCTAAATGGATGAACTGTCAAACATCACACAGAGGTGGGAATTAAAACTGCTGAACTCAAGGTATCAGAGACAACAGAGGATTCTTCAGGGTCGCCTGTCTGCCCAGGTTCACACAGCTGCGGCGACACCAGTGTATTAAAACACTCCCTGTGCATAGCTCGGGCTCTACGCTCCATTACTTAACCTCGGGGAGGCTGCAAACCTCCAAACCTCACCCAATTAGAGCCGACACTCTTCTAGTTAGCTACTGCTTTTAAAGACAAACCCACACAACAGGGAATTCACCAGAAAGACACTGCTTCTGCAGGATAAATGAACAGAGATTAATCGTGCATTTTGTGTGCCTGTGAGCATTTCTAATGAATGAAGCATTTCAGCTCAATGCAGTGTTTACTGGTTCAACTGCTTAAAAGTTCTAATACTGGTCTTCAAAGTGCCCGTTTACCTTGCAATAATAGAGATGTTGATGTTCCTCCTCCACTTCCCTCAAAGCACAGAAACCTTAGCTACAAGTGGTTGTAATTAAAAAGTTATTCTTAGCAGTTTTTTCTTCCATGGGCTGCAGGGTTATATAGCTAGTAGTGACTGGAGAGGTCAAAGTCTTCTGTTCTGCCAGAGTCCCAAAATAAATGTGGAGTAAGACTGGTCTACTTGTCTTCTCCCTTCCTCTGGCTATCCTGTCTCTTCATCAGACTTACATTCTAGATGAAGGTTCTTGTGGTGGTTGTGGTTAATTGTGTCAGTTGACTGGTGTAGGAACCACCTAGGGGATTAGTACAGGATGCTCCTGAGTGTGTTTGTCATGGAGGTCATGGAAATGTCGGGTCCATATCTGGTTCTGATAAGGAAATAATCCACAACAAGGCAGGCCTTTGTCCCTCCTGCCCAATGTTTTTTAAAATAAAATATTCTGTTCAAGCAATGTAACTGTTTGTGCTGAAGGATGTTTCTCCCTAAGGTTGCAAGAATATTCTGTTAACCCTGCCCATCCATCTCAATGAGCATCCTTGCCACCCTGTAGATATCTATATAATGTTGCTTCCATTTCTGTTCAGAGCTCAGACTTCTGAGTACAAACTCCTCTAAGCCTGCCAGCATAATAAAGGTTCCTTCTGTCTCTCTGAGTGCCATTCCACTTCTTCGGCTCCAGAGACCTTTGGATAGCCAGAACACTTGGCTGTAATACAGAGCTGTAACTTGGCTGTAATGCTGAGCTGTTGCACTTTGCTGTAAGAGTTCCTCATCACTTCCTTTCTGTCACTGTGCTTCCCTGCCCCTGTGTACTAACCACCTTATCTTCTCCATGTTATTCTGCCTTGGAGCCAACTGACCATGAACTGAATCCCCTGAAACCATGAGCTAAGTTAAACCTTTTCTCCTTTAAATTGTGGGTGTCCAGTATTGTGTCCAGCATCAACAAAGTGACTAATACAGTTCTATGTACAAAGTCAGGGCCTTTCCAGGTGGCAACAGCAACAGAGGCTGAAGTTCTTTCCTCCTTGGGTTGTCCTTTTAGAGTGGCTCTCCAAGGCAATCTGCACAAATTTGACTCTTGGAAACCTTCCAATCTTTTCATGGAAGTGGGGCTTGATTTTTTATTTCCCTCTGAGGTCTCTAAGAGAAACCTTTATTTTGTTTGTTTTTGGGCAAGGTGGCTTGTAAAATAGTGAGGAGATTTCTTCTCTATTTGCAGTCTGGCTTACCCTGGTCTTTCAGGGGCAATGGATCCCCTTGATTGGATTTTGAGCTTTTTTTTTTAAGGTCTAACACAATGCTTTGTTGTGAGCCCAGTGATTTTTTGTTTTTTTTTTGTTTTTTTTGTTTTTCTTTGTTTTTCTTTGTACCAGGGATCGAACTCGGGTCCTTGTGTTTGCGAGGCAAGCGGCGGAACCACTGAGCTAAATCCCCGGCAGTCCAGTGATTTTTAAGAGGGCATTCTTTTAGTCACTCAGGGAATGTCTCCTAAGCTTCCTAGGCTCTTCATTGAGAAGCTGATTGGACAGAAAAGGAAATAATCGGTTATTTTATCAACTCTCCATCTCTACCCTGGACTGATGGGTCTTTATGGATTCTTGCTGGTACCCTGTTTCCACCTTGTGATTTCCATTTGTTTGATCCCTAGCCTGTCTTTGGTGTCCACATCAGCACACAGACTTTCCCTCTTCCATAGAAGATCTCGGTCTCTACCTGCCCTGAGCTGACACTCCTCCACCAAGTGTTGCCCACAGAAGGTGCTGCAACCCCTCTTTTGATATTTATGCTCTGATGGTCTGCTCAGGACACTACCCCAAAACCCTGCAGATCACGAGGTGTCACTAAGAATAAAGCTTATTTCCTCACCATTCTGGAAGCCCAAGTCTCAGATTGAGGTTCACCAGGGCTCTGTTCCTGGGAGGATGTCTTCCTGGTTTGCAGATGGCACCTTCTCACTATATCCCCGCTCAGCCTTTGCACAGAGCATGCGTGCAGTCAGGGAGGGAGATAGCTTCAGGCCTCTGGTGATTCTCCTTGTGAGGGCACTAACTACAGGATCAGGCTCCCACCCTTGAGATTGAACCTTGTCTACATTCTTAAAGGCCTCAACCGCAAGTGTGGCTGCTTAGGGGATGAGAGACTCAACTTCTGAATTTAGAGGAACTCAAACTTTGGCTCACAATACATTTCATTTGGCTTTTTTATAGTTAATGTGTGTGTGTGTGTGTGTGTGCGCGTGCGCATGCATACATGTGTTCATATGCACAAGTGTGTGTGTCCTCCATGGAAGAATCGAGAGCACCTGTAAGTTCTGCAATGTGACACAGTACTTCTTTATACTTTACCTTTTATTGGTAAGTTTGTATTTTTAAAAATTTATGTTTTTTAATAGATCAAATACAGTATATTTAGATATAAGCCATTCACACTCCAGTTTCTATTTAACTCTTAATTGAAAAAACATACTTTCAAGGCTACTTTAAAATTCTAAAGGGTGCTTTGTTTGTTTGTTTGTTTATTTTACAAGTATACACACAGGTAGGTCTTCATCGGGAGTGGCCAGGGGCCCTCAGCTGATGAAGAGCAGGCAGGCCAGGTGGCTCCTGGGACAGATGAGGCAGTGGGTGTCCAGGGCTTGGCGGGGTGGACTAAGATCCAGTACATATCTGCCACTGCCCAGGAGTCTGACTCCAAGTGACATTTCTTCTTGTGTGAGAATTCAACTGCAGGTCATGGTCAATTATCGTAGGAATTGCTGAATTGCTCTTGCTGTTGGTGCTGCCATCTTGTGCTAATGTTCTGGCTTTGTGGTTTGGTTCAGGCCTTGTGATGGGGCAGAGGGACTTTTGGTGCCCTGGTTCTTAATGCTCCTTCTTCTCCTCTGGATTTCTTTGTCAGTCAAGATTCTCTAACATCAGATCTTGTATAAATGCTTTTCCCACTCCTCTAGAGAGGAGCAGTGGGCGTGTCCCTGAAAGTCAGTCTCACTGCCTGGCCTCTGAGTGTCCAGTCCTCCCTAGGGGTTTCCAGCACCCATGGTCACAGCCACACAGGCTGAGGTAGAGCCACCTGGGCCTCCCTCCTGAGCAGAGGCCAGGTGACGGGTCATCTCTGAGGGATTCTTTAGGAAAAATTATTGGATAATCTCTTTGACAGGACCATGTACACAGAATGTGAATTCCCAATTTAATCTAGCAGATTTCAGAGCTTTTGGAATTTCTCATTAAACTCTCAACTTTGTGGCTGCTTCTTTAAATTTGAAGGCTTAAAAATGCCAAGAATTTCTTAGATAAAATAATTTGTTAACTCTTATTTAAATTTATAAATTTAAAGTTTTAGTGCATTTGGCAGAAAATACTTCTCTTTATAATATGTAGTTTTCTGTTTGCTGTGCATTATACATTAGATCACATTGTTAGCTTTTATTTGTTGCTATTCTTGTAATTTTTGAATACAGCAATGCCATGAGTATTGGAATGCTGAAAAATATTTTTTCCTTTTTTTTTGGTACCCGGGATTGAATTCGGGACCTTGCGCTTTCGAGGCAGGTGGCAGAACCACTGAGCTAAATCCCCGGCCCTGCTGAAAAATATTGGATGGAATGAGTATTTACATTGGCTTTTAGTGGACACTTAACACATCTAATTCACGCATTGTCCTAACGTATTTTTCAAATATTTTCACTTTTTTCCCAAAGACCACAAACTTTCATGTACAACTCAGCTCTTCTACAAGCAGTTTCTCTGGGCTTTATGTGAGCTTCAGCTATTTAATTGAGTACATTTCATTAACATTTTTTTATTTCAGAAAGGAAAATAATGACTAAAATGGTAGTGAACATTTCGTATTAAGACTGTCTGCAAATATTGATTATAATACTGCAAATAAAAGAAGAAAAAATAAAAACAAGGTGGGTAATTGCCATTTAAACTTTTTAGAATGTTTGAATCCCTAGAAGAAAAATGTTTTGGGTAATAGATGAGGTAAAACCTAAATTGATAGAATAATTTTGATAACTGAATTCTTAGCTTAAGCAAAGCTTTCCTGACTTCATTTTATTTATTTATTTTTAAAATGTGTTGCATCTTCATAGGAAAAGTATTAACAGAGATTCCAGAACTTTACTTGGGAATCATATCGTTTATTGTTATACATTCTTGAGCTCTAACTTTTTACAGGAACCAAATCTTGGAAAGAATGCACAACTCTGCAGAGAGGATGAATACTAGCTCAGTTCAGTGAATTCATGTTTGTTTCATAAAGAAGCCATTTCTGCACACTATTTCCATTTGGCAAGAATAATTAATCTTCAATATATAAAGTAAGTAATTAATCTTCATCACCTAAAGTAAGCTGATAGGTAAAGGGTACATGGTGACCCCTCGGTGTCCGTGTAGGACTGGTGTCAGGGTTCCCATAGACACCCACTTCTGGTCACATTCCTGGTATAAAATAGTGTGTTATTTGTATACAACATGCACAGTCTTCTCGTATACTTTAAATCATCTCTATACTATTCTAACACAATGTAAATGCTATGGAAACAGTTGCATGGCATACTTAACACAATGTAATGCTACCTAACACAATGTAAATGCTATGGAAATAGTTGCATTGCATACTTTAGTGAACAATGGTAAAAAAGTTTATATATGTTCAGTACTGATCCCACCCCCCCAATATATTCCATCTGAAATTGGCTGTGTTTGCAGATGAAGAACCCCTGGGTGTGCAGGGCAAACACCAGAAGACATACAAGCTGGGGCTGAGGATCGCAAGTTTTCATTAGTGGGCATGTCTGTAATGTATTTAATCACATGTGTGGGATTTTGTGTGCATTATTGCTATGGGCTTATTTAAAACGGACAGTTAAGTCTAATGACAAACTATTCAATATTTAAGAAAAAGAGTAACAAAAGACAGATATAAACGTCACTATAACCATGAGATAATAAGTATGGAATTCTAATTATGGGCCTGATGGAGAAAGAAATCTGATGGAGTAAAAAAGTAATTATTATAAAACTGTTGATAGTGTAGGTAAATGACTTGTCCTAAAATTAAAAAGTCAAACCTAGTTAATTATATCTTAGCTAATAAAACTGCAGTGATAAGGTTTATAGATTAGTGAAAAATTAATGAACTCTATAATGAATTTTTTAGTAAATTATAGAAGTCAGAAGTAACTTAATAAGAAGTCTGAAAACATTTAAAAGAGATTAGATTTACTGAGATATTAAGTAATGTTAGAAATAGTGAAGCTCCATTTTCTACAAAGAAGAACTTTCAAATTAAATGTCTTATTGGTTGTATCTCATTGTCTAAAATAGCCTAGTACAGGGCCAGGGATTTAGCTCAGTGGTTCTGCCTCTTGCTTTGCAAGCACAAGGACCCGAGTTTGGTCCCTGGTACCCCCCCCCCATAGCCTAGTGCAGAGTAGCACTTAATAAATACTAATTGCATGGATTAATATTAAAATTTAGACACTGTAGGCAAACAAAGATGATGTGTTTGTGTGGGTTGTGACTCTGATGGCGACTGGTGACATTTCAAAGTGGTCACACTGTTTTCTGTACTTTTGCAACTAACTCTTTTCTTATCTTCCTCTCTTATCAAGTTATCAAGACTATCATTTAACGGTTCAGAGCACACATCCTCCAAGTGTACACACTCAAGCATCTCTCAAAGTGCATGTCTTCCTTCCAAAATGTCTGATAGTCTCAACTTATATTTCTATTCCCTTTCTATTCTAGTAAAAACAGGCAGGAGAGCAGTTGAGTCCCATGAGCAGGTGACTTTCTAACTAATGTACAAGATGACCCAGTTTAATTCTCCAGGTCTAGTAAGACATTTGGGGCTGGAAACAGGACAGGATGTTTCTTGTTTTGTGTTCTGGGCGCAGTCACTAGAGAAGCCTCTCAGGGTGCAGAAATGGAATGTTCTCTTGCAGCTCCTGCAGCTCCCGGATTCCTAGCAGCCACGGTGGGTGGTGCAGTCTTCTGTCACATGGATGTAGTCACCCTCCTCCTCCGCCATTTTTAGTCACCGTCTGTGTTGGTGATTGGAGAAAGTTGCAAACATCCAGATTTTCCCATTAAAACTCTAATAAATTTTACCATGCAGCGTCAAGCACTGTGACTGCTTCTGCCTGGAGGGTGAGGCTGGGAGAGGCGTCACCACAGCCAAGCCACTGGCAGTGCCGTGCAGGGTTGGACAGGTTAGCAGTGCAGCAAGAAGTGGCAATCGCCATGCACAGGATAGTTCTTCAAGCTGGAAGCTTCCAATGGCAGCTTGTTGGGAAAAATCCATGAACCCCTGGTGATTTTCTAAGAAACAACCTGCTTGTGTGATCCTACGGTAAAGTCAAAGCAGAAGTCAAAGTATAGCATACAGTTTTCTTTGAAAATTTGAAAAAAAGAAGAAATTGCAAATAGAACCAGTACTTAATTATATAGCGATTGATGTAAAAATGTTTAAAAATTTAATTTTCAAAGCCATTTTTTTTTACTTTTACTGATACATAAAAAATTGCACCTCTTTAAAAAGTTTTAATTTTATTTTTCAAAATAAATACCTGTTTATGCTTTTCTTCAGTACATATATAAAATTTTGCCCTGGTTTTAAATAGGGTTAGTTAAATGCGTTTCGTCTTGGACGCTGTGATGATTGAGTAATGAGAATCTATATTTGTGTGCCAGTGTGTGTGTGTTTGCATGTATTAATTTCAATGCTTAGAGAATTTTCAAATTTATAATTTGATGAAAATAATAAAATAACATGTTAATGACTGACATGGCTTTACAAACTGAATATTTTCTGTAAAATACACAGTAGATTTTGTAATTTGTCCCAATATTTGATCCAACTTGTCCAATCTGGATTGGGTATCCTTTGTACTTAAGGAATTTTGCTCTGTTTCTCAAAATTTAACTGTAGTATCAAAACAATTTTCTTGTAACATTAAAAGCGCTCTAATTTTTGGTGTGTGTTTTTGTTTTGAAATGGCTAGGAACTGGGGCTGCCCCAAGGCGGAAATGGCCTTGTTCATCTTGCAGGCAGCACTGGAAAAACAGGAAACTTCAGCCCCATTCCAGGGTGGAATCTGGCTGTTTGGTGAGAAGGTGGAACGTGTGTGTGTGTGTGTGTGTGTGTGTGTGTGTGTGTGTCCACCTAGTATCTTCCATACTGACACGCTAAAATATAATAATTGATTTCCATAAAGTAGATGGAGTTGGCACCTGTGTAAGAAGGGAAGAGCGGACCCTCACTGGCTCTGCCTCTCTGTCCCTCCCTCCTTCCCTCTCAGTTCTGCACTGACAGCGGTGCTCTCACACAGCAAGGAGGAAGCTGTCCAGAATCCAAGACAAACCAGCCCTGTCCAGGGCCCCAGTCCGCCGGAACTTGGTCCTTGGCTCCCAGCCCGCAGAACTTCGAGACAGAAGCGGCTGTGGCTGAAGTTCCCATCCGAGTATTTTTCCAGCAAGACAACCACATCTGCGCACAGTGCATTGCACTCACTGCATTCTCCCAAGAGAGAGAAAACATACCGAGCTGTCCTCATCAGATCCACAAAGGCCCTGGTGGAAGAGCTTGGGAAACCACTGGTCTGGAGAAAAATTACTTTCTGTTTTAGAACCTAAAGTTAAAGGGAAAGAGAATTTTCTTTTTATCTGTGGTGAATGTGTCCTTTACTGCAGAGCATGCACTTTAGAGGGGATGAAGCAGATCATAAAGCCTATAGCTTGGCCTGAGCAGAATGAGACAATATTATGCACATATACTCAAAAAGAAAGGCCAGGCCTCCCAGGCCACTTTTGAAAAGTAGAGGTGATAAGAAAGTCTTTTTTTTTTTTTGTACAAATAAGCATGTTTTAATATAACTACTGTATGCGGTGTGGAATTTACAGTCTCTTTTTACGATGTGTTAGTGTCATGGTGGAGGGTGACGAAGAAAAGTACAAATTCTGTTGCTGTCTCTGGGTTGGACGCATAATGGGGCGGGAGGTCAGAGGGTCAGGGAGGGAGCGAGCCTGAATTGTGCTTCAAAACTGGGCTCCCTGTAAATCTCATCTCTGTCCTCAAATAACTGCTAGGACTTTGGGAAACTGAACGCTCAAAACCCGTTTCCTTATCTCTAGGGCAAGGACAATGAGAACAGCCTCTAGACTGCATATCCTCCCTGTGAAGACGAAATGATTCTTGTGGGATGCTGCAGAGTGGTGGAGAGTTATTGTTATTATTAACAAATTCTCACATCTCAGATTCTACCAGAGAGTAATTTGATTAAGTCTAGGGGTTACCTATAGTTGGATAGCTCAAGAATTCGAAGAAGTCATTATTTCTTGGAATCATTATTACTTTTTAGTAATTTGGTTACTAAAAACTTTGTCCTAAACTATCCATCTTATCAAAGTTATAGGGAAAGAAAAAATACAAATACACGATTTGACTACTGCATATGAAACCAAATTAGAGAAAAAGCAAATTCTGGTAGAAATTTATTCATTAACCTAGAGAATGGTGCTAGGAGTTTCAATATTCCTTAGTGCCTGTTTCTTTCGAAGTGCAGATTTTTAAACAAGAGTTCTGAATACTTCAAATCTCTAAATGAACTGATATAAATTACTTTCTTTATTTCTTGTTTTTAATTCAACAGAAAAGACTGCGAGAGACCACTTGGAGAAGAAATGAGTAAAATAAAGGCCAGGAGAAAGTGGGAGAAACAGAAAGGAAGCAATACCTGTGTGCTTCCATAGGGTTCACAATTTTCTGAGGTTAGCCATGCACATACATTTGCTGGGTATTTTTCTAGGATTTAAAAAAAAAACTCCTAAGAAGATGTCAAATAAATTGCTCTGGGAAACTTTAAAAATTAAACATTTTAAAATTAGCATGGAATGATGCAAAAATAATTCCTAAGTCTAGCACATGCATGAATCAGTTACCCAGACACATTTCTTTCATTTTTAGATAAACTTTTGTAAGTAAACTTAATTTCAGGATGATTAGACCTAGGGGAAGTTGTAAAGACAGTGCAGGGAGTTCTTCGTTTCCCCTCTCCTGGTGTTGACATCGTACACAATGACAATACACTTGTCAAAACGAAGGAATTGGCATGGGCACGACATGGCTTCCTAAGCTCAAGGTTTTATTTGAATTTTATCAGGCTTCCCACTGAAGTCCTTTCTCGGTTACAGGATTAAATCTAGCATATCAGACTGCCTTTAGCATCCTCTGGTCTGTGATAGTTTTTCCTCGTGTAAAAGTTTCCTACTGATGTTGTTAACAAGTAACCACAGCTTGGTGGCTTTAAACAAGACACATTTATTATTTTATAGTTTCAGAGTAGAGAGTCACCACATGGGTCTCACTGGCTAAAGTGAAGCAGTCTGTGGAGTGTCATTCTTCCTGGAGACTGGAGAGAAGAATCTATTATTTTTTCTTTTCTAGGTTACAGAGGCTGCTCTCATTCCTTGGGTAGGATTTCATCCTCAAAGCCTGCAGAGGGTGGCCTAGTAGTTCTCACAAAGCCATCTCTCTGCTTCTGACTCTTCTCCTTTCAAGATCTGTGCAGTTATGAACAGAATAATCCAGGATAATCCTATTTCCAGTTCACTGGATTGGCAACCTGAACTTTGTTTGCAAATTTAATTGCCCGTGGTTTGTTACAGAACCTCTCTACAGGTTCTGGCAATGAAGACGGGAGTGGATTTAGTGGGCTGTTGTTTTGTCTATGACAGTCTAGCCGGTAGTTCCTGAAGAATGATTTTCTCCTGTATACAAATACACCTACCCAATCCCAAGGTCTTCACATCAACTCAAACTCACGTAAATTTCATTAGTTCAAGAGTTGAAATCTCATCAAGCGCCTCATCTGCATCAAGTATGAGTGAGTCTGAATATCATTCACCCGGGGTACAGTTCCTTTCTACCTATAAATACGAAACTCAAAAAACAAGTTATTTGCTTTCAAACTATAATGATGAGAAAGCCTAAACATTTAATTCAAAAGGGAAGAAAATGGAAGAAGAGGAGGAATTATAGTTTTCAAACAACTTCTCAATTTCTAGCTTTGCTGCTCTCAGTTCTGCCTTCTGAGTTTCCTTCTCCACCCCTGGAATCTTCTCTCCTTTTTCTGGAGAGGCAGCCTTTGTTTTCATCTGAATGTATCTGTTTCTTGCCTGTAGAATTTTGGGGAGTTTGAAACATTTATTTTAGTCCATCTTTTTCATTCTAAACTTGCAGAATTTCTGATAAAATGCCCAAGAATCTAAGAACATGTTGATTTTAGTGCCCCGAGACTCAGGTGAGACCTCTGATCTGCAGGACTGTAGGACAATTTGTGTTGGTGTGAACAATTACCTTTATTGGAATTCATTACAGCAGTGATAGGAAACTTTTTTTTTTTCTGGTACCGGGGATCGAACTCAGGTCCTTATGCTTGTAAGGCAGGTGGCGGAACCACTGAGCTAAATCCCTGGCCCTTGATAGGAAACTCTTAAAGCTGGACTCCATAATATAGACATTGTTGCTGTGGATAAAGGGTGTTTCAGGGCGAGGATGAGAAACAAGCCTGGAAAAGGGATTTGAAAGAGGAAGGAGAAGACTTGGAGAGAATACATGCACATCACCCTGGAAGCTTCCCATGCTTTCTCCTTCTTGGGCTTGGCTCGTGCCTCCCTTAATTGGCTTGTCTTCCCCTTGCCTGACTTCAGCCCATTTTCACGATGAATTCCTACCCTTTGTCTTCCCTGACTCACTCTGCCTTAGCTCTTTCTTCTTTGGGTTTGTATCACCTGGATACTCAATGTGCTTGCCTATAATAAACCTGAATATATGTTTATTGAATTAATAATGATTTGGTGAGTTCTTGTACATTGATTAATTAAGTAATTATAAATATAACCTCTTATCCTGTGAAGTTTTATTATTTTCCTTCTTTAGGTACAGTTCAGTATGGATGCCTCTATTCAAATATTTGGTAAGATAAGCAGAAAGATTAAACCAACAGAACAAATATCCATCAAATTTCAATCAAATTAGAGTTTCAGCACACAAAATCTATTTGCTTACATGAAATCTCTTTCTCAGGGAAATATTTGTAGATCATTATCCAAAGTTTCAAAAGTAAATTTGTAAGTAAGTTCGAAGTTACAGCTTTCCATGGAGAGGTAAAGAAAATATATTTATGAGACACAACATGATGCTATTTAAATTTCAGGAAAGAAGATGCTATGAAATGCTATAAACATTTGGGGACCTAAACACACCTGCATCGAAAGATTAAACAGACATAGGAACTCGAAATTTAAACCAATTATAATAATCAGGATGCAAAATTTTCCCAAATAAACAGAAAAATTTTTTTCTGTTTTTTTGTTTTAGGTGCCACAGAATCTTACTCATTTGAACCTAATTTACTTTTTAACTTTCTCACTTTTTCCTGTCAATTTCCCCTACTTCCTCTCACCAATCCACCCCTTCAATAAACAAAATTTCCCTTGGCTCTGGAAACCAGGTGGTTCAGTTAATTTTTCCTGCCCCCTCACCATGCACTGATTCCCACACTTTGTCTGTTATCTGATCGGCCCTGAAACTTGCTTTGAGTGAGCAGTGCCATCTTACACAACTAGGAGTCTTTCATCTTGCAGCTATGCCCATCCAGACAATGTGGAGCAAGGGAGACAGCCTCTGGGGATCCACTTGCTGCAAAGCTGGAGAAGGAGTCTGGCTGATGAGCCGCTGTGGCCCAGTGCGCTCTGACTGTAGAAGCTTGGGTTCAAATCACTGCTTGGTCACTGATGAACTGTGTGAATCTCCATTCTCGGTCTCCATTTCCTTGTCTGTGCAAAGGGGATAGTAAATGTAGCCATCTTTTCATGTGGGTCAGAGAGGAAAGTACAGATAACCTTCATTAGAACTGTTTCCGTATGCTTTAGTTTTTCCATGTATTTAGTTTTGCTGGGGTTTGATGCACACCTACCAGATGCATGAGGGCTTCAGATTACAAAGCCTTGGCATTATAAGCAAACTTAGAAATTGTTCACTGAAGAGGACTTAGAAATTTTCTACTTCTACTTTCACCAATATAGAAATCTCTTCTCCAGTTCCTAGGTAGTCACTTAGCATCTGCATGGAAAAGTCATGGACAGGAACAGACCATTTCAGAAGTCTTTTTTCCTTTTATGGGTTTGCCTTTTATGGATTTGCCTCCCTTGTCCACCCCTTCTCTTCTACTTTTTAGACAAAGTGAGAATAAAAATACCCACCCTTTTGACTTGGGGGCTATGCACAGTAAAGTACTACATACTTACATGTATCTTTGTTCAGCTTTATAATAGTGTACAGAATTGATATTCTTAGCTCTACTTTATATATAAAACACTGAGACATAAAAGGGGCAAAGATCTTTTCTGATGTCCTAAGTTAATAGGTCTAAAAATGACGAAGTGTTCTTATTAGTAGGAGCCCTTTATAATGTTTGAAAATATGTATTAGTTTTCTGTAAGTGCTCTTTCCTACAGCAAATGCTTCCCCCCCACAACTCCTTATATAATACGAAGGCTCTATTTCCTGTCACCTTACTTGAAAACTTAAAAAAATATTTAATATTGTTCTTAAGTATGGCACTCAGGGATGAATACTTTTGTACAGACAGATACTGCCTATCCTGATTTAGATTTCACTCCATTGTACAGCCCAAGATTTTTTGTGCAGCTGTATCCATATGTTAACTAATGTCTAACTGAGATCAACTAAAGCCTCTAATTTTTTACTTCCTTTATTAGAGACCCACGATACTTGGTGGCTCCATTCTTGTGTGCATGAATGTGTGTTTATTTATTTGTTTTTAATCATAGCCTGTCTATTTCATTTTATGGTTTTTATCTCAGTGTTCTGCCTTGTCAAGATCATTTTGAATCTTCAGCCTGTCATCTGACATATTAGCTCTGCCTTTCAGCTGAGTGTTATTTGCAAATTTGATAACCATGCTTTCTATGCCTTCATCAAGATGTTGATAAAAATATGGACCAGGGAAAGGACAAAGGTACAATCCAGTAGCCTGGCACCAGAGACAGGGCGGTTCACAATGGTTCATCTGAGTGAGTAAGGGTCCAGCAACGAAAAGCAAAGTGGCTTTGCTTGTCCAGCTCCTCACAGCCTCCGGGAGGCATTCCCATCGAGTAGCACCCTGTCGGGGTATAATTCAGTCTGATTGGGTGGACAGAGGAGATAGATTGCCAGGGGCCCCGGTGGGAGGTGCTGCTGCATTCTAGGATTTGAGGGCCCTGTGGAGCCCACGTCTTCTCCTCATTCAGTTCATAGCCAGGGTGCATCTGGAGAGACTTTATTCTTGGGTTTACAGAAAGCAGGACATTGGTACTCTTTTCAAAGGCCACGCCTTTATGTCTTTTCCCTGTGGCATTCGTCCGTACACGTCACCTGTCCTGCTAGAATGTCAACTGCACAAGGCAGGAGCTGTTTTCTTCCGTTTGCTCACTGTCATTTCTTAGGACCCAGAACACACAGCAGGTACTTTAGTAGATTCGCAGTCATGTATAAATAGATACCTTACAAACTTTAAGGTTTATAAGTCTGTCAAGTTTTCCGTAGATGTGTCTGAGGTACTTTGGGGTGAGTTTTGATAAATTCAGCCCTTCTAGGGCAGGGAGTGTGAAGTGGTGAATGTGAGCCGAGTGCTGCTGCCTCCTGGTCTGCCGAGTCCTCCGTACCCTCCTGCATCTCTGACCCAACGAGGCTTCCTCTGCCTTCTCCCA